TAGCACAACCTGTATCAGTTTTTTTAGGCATTTCGTTTGCCTAGGAGAAATGTTTATCCAACGAACTGTTCGCCGCAATCCACAAGATGTCGGTACCAAAAAATCTTGAATCCCTGTTACCTTTGCCATAATGAAAAGATTCAAAGCTCATCATTCATACTAGAAAAATGTTAATGAACGACCACTAAGCTGACACCTGGCTAGACTGACTATGATATAATGTTCAGATAGCTTTGCAGAAGTCTGTTGTAATTTGTTATAATTCGTATCTTAGTCCGAACGAGACATGAGAATGTCTTGCTAATACGCATAAGCAAAGTTCAGTTCATGGAAGAAATCGCAAACGAAGTTCACGTGAAACTGCGCAGGACGAACGATCTGAGAAAATAACGAAAGATGTTATGACCACCGACTCCATTTAGATGAATCCGAATCTGATACTAGGCATGTGTCAGCTTAAAATTTCTAAAGGTAAATTAGCCATCCAGAGATGCGCTGAAATCATATATGGGAGGAGAAGCATTGTATGACTGTCTGAAACCGTTCTAGCGGTTATCTTTTTGTAGTCATCACAAGCCCTTCAGTCAATACCAGTATACTTCGGCACTGTGGGAAAAACATAGGTGGGTTTACACACTAATGCTACTACCGTCTGCATGGTTTTCAATTATCTTGGTAAAACAACATTGCTAATACTAACTTTGTTTTTGTGTGATCCTGTAGTCAGTACTTAATGCGTAAAATGCTTCCTAATTCTACTATAAAAGAAAGTAACGATTACTGGTGCATAAGAGCAATAGATCCTTTAATTAAGATAGACCAGATGAGATTAGAGAATTATGTGTAGAAATGTAATCACATGCAATATCATCTATTTTGAGTAAGCGTATACCAGTCTATAACAAGTTTGCATCAAAAGAACACATACTCTCATTCTTAATATCAATTCCATCAGTTCAAATGTATCTTTCAGTATATATGTAGACAATTAACTTTTGATTGAGTTTAGCAATTCCAGTATTGAAGATGTTTATCTGTGGGTAGTCTACTCACTGACACTATAGGACGTACATAATGACTTGGTTTATGTATTTTTAGTTAAACCATACGCGCGCTAGGCCCTCGACTGGAATCTAAATGGGAAGCGATGAGTGGGTCGTCACTTCTAGGGTGATATGGAGGAGATCGTGCTAGGAAGAGATGAGCGATTACGGGCAATCGTGGACCCAGCTGAAGAGGATGGCAGAAAATAGAGGAAAGTGGAGATGAGTATTTGAAGACCTATGTTCCACTCGGAGCCCAAGGGAATATTATGGTTTTAAAAAGAGTCAAACCTATCTCTACTGGTAACATTTAAGTTAAGAAGCTCCACGAAATTAGCCGACACTGTGCCTTTTAATAAGTGAATGTCTTCTGAAGAGTGATCTCAGCTAAATTTTGCTCTGATCATTAATAATAGATTACATTTTGAAGTTTATATTCCCTTTTATTACTAATAACAACTCCAGAACCTTTATCAGGTTTCATAATCATTCTGTTAGGATTTTTCCGTAGTTCTCTCAAGGCTTTGAAATACGTTTCTATTCCTGATGGTCTTTAAAGAACTGGTAAGATGTATCCATCATCTTAGCTTTAAACTAACACACACCTCCAGCCGATGTCGTGACTGAGGGGTTTAAGTTAGTCGTACAAGTTTGCAAATCCAGCATCGATAACTAATTGCTTAAAATGCACATGTGTGAAGCACAAAATTTTGGCCAATAGGACTAAGCTTCTTTCCGATGAGTGGACAGTACAATATCAGAAATATTCGTAATATGTTCTGTTTTGGACTAATGGAAAAACAGCTGAATTTTTCAGCCCCTTTAGTATATTGGCTTTCGTTTTACAGGTAACACTACAACAAAACAGAGGTTTTTGGCGACATACCGTTGATTACTCCGATAAAATATGTGATGCGTCGAAATGAAAGTTAATTCTGTTTTCCATTGTCGATATGCGGTTGCGTAAGACAAAAAAGATTAGAAATATTTAATTGTTACTTACTGAATTATAAATTTTAATAAAGCTATTTGTTCTATAGCCTAATTTTGAGTGATTTAGACGTTTGACCTACACAGTTGTTAACCTAGCAGCCGGCTAAAAAAATATTTTGTAAGCTCCATTGTTTTAGTCCGATTATTTTGTTGTTGAAACTTCTAGCCAGTTTAATTTGTTACGAATTAGATTTATGTGTCAAACGTGCTCTAGGCTGAATTCATTTACAAAATATTTCGGTGAAATTCCACACTACGATGATGCTGATTACTCATGAATGATAGATTCATACAATGTTGGGTTAGGAAAAATTGTCAAGTCAATTTAAGGTTATAAAAGATGTTTGATGGGTGGTTAGTACAAAGTATTACAGAGGAGATAATTTTTTTTTTTATTCCTTCACGTTCCCAATGGAACATAGGGCTTCAAGCTAGAGGCTTGAAGTTTCTGTAGCGGTGTTTATTTTTACAGGATGGGGTCGCTAGCCACATGCCCAACCTTTCCTCCTTACCATCTTTTATTTCTGGCTTAGCGAGGTAAGGGGGAGTGCGTCGGCCGGGAATCGAACTCCGGACCATGTGCATGGTCGGCGAGCGTCCTAACCGCTATGCCACCGACGCACACATAGGAGATAATAGTAAGTCTGTAATGAGAAGTCCATTATGAAATAACCAACCAGCTTGGTTCAGCAAGGGAGAAATTAAAAGCATGAATAGCTCAATTTTTTTACACTTGGTCGATACTGGACATCGCATCGGCACCAACACAGTCTCCTACACACAGCTGAAGCTGTTGCAATCAGATCGACTACATCGGAAATTTGAATCCAAAAAGAACACGTTCAGACGCCGTTCCTACTGTGGCCGAAATTGGATTAAGGTTTCTTCTTCTATCCGAGAGTACTCTTCCCCATACCCTCTAGGCTTTTTTTACTTTCCTTTATTTATTATTACAATTATTATTATTCACTGGAAATTTGACCTTTTCATTCAAACATTCTCTCAATACTATCGAAACTTCCATTTGTACTGCCTGAACTTATTATTAATAATACTGTAACAACAGAAGGCAAGACACGGAAGGCAAAATATATTTTTTGTTAATCAAACCACTTTATATATGGGATATATATATATATATATTCAAATATACATAGTATTTTGTTCTTAATGCAGTACTGAACTGTGGGAAAGTAATCTGTCTCTAACATCAAATAGAATGTTCAAATGGATATATTGTGTTGCCAACTTGAACTGTGGGAATATGTGAGAATACCATTCCGTTGGCAAACATTGTCTGCATCACTCTATTATGGATAAGATTTTATTTTGATAAATCACACAGTGTTGTACAGTAATATTAACTGATGATGTTTCGAGCATAAACTATTGCTCATAATCATATCAACCCATTCGAAAGCTTTTGGAGGCCCATTTTAAACTAGGAGTCGTTGAGTACCATGTGTAGAGAATCAATCTCAAGTTCACATGAGTGGAGTGAATGTCAGAAATGTAAATTTCTAATAAGTCCGCTAAAAATACAACTCACTAAATTTTTATCCCAACAAAATCTATCCACAACATCCAATCAACTAGTATTTATGCAGCTTACCAGATCCTGACACCGCTATTCGGTAGACAATACTTCTGTGGCATCATCTTCGATTTCCACAAGGCCTAAACTTATGCCAGACAGACATATTCCAACTTTCCCTCAGAGAACACTGTATTTTGATGAATGTTTATTCTAAATCAAGGCGACTTTTGTTCGGTAGAGATTCAATTCCTGAAAGATGGGGATAAAACGTGGTCAAAGATATCATTGTGTCTGTAACAAAACTAATTAGCAACGGTGACATTACGCATTTGAAAACAACAACAGTGGTTATTGTCTCCTAAGACGAAAACTATCAGACGGCTGTATGAGTCTAAATAGTTTCTTGATTAGTACAATACGATTTGTCGTTGGCCTAGTTTACTCCTCAGGTTGCCTCCGACCAAGCACATCACATCACTCAGTCTACGGGTGTATAGATATGGCCCCTAGTATCTTAAACACTTTCAATCGAGGTTATTCATCTGAATCACTTGTCTTTTCTTATCAACTGAGATGACCATCGATGTACACCAGTTTGACAGAACTATCTCAGTTTCCTGAACACTAACTACTAGTTTACTTATTCTAGCCAATAACTCAAAATCGTCATCATTTTAATCCCCGTTGAAGCCAGACAGTAAGGTCGTGTTGATTAGCCTCGTTTCAGATTAGAAACAGTCATTGCAACGTCAGTCAAACCACTAGCACCGGTGTCTACAGTTGGATGGTGGGAATTTGTAAAACCCCACCCTTTACTCAATCAGCCATGTATATCATCTATGGCTAACATCTCTTCTCCCACTTCAGCATGTGATATCGGTAGCCAAAATTTAGCAGGCCGACCATTGATATCACGTGTGCGTCGGCCGGGGATCGAACCCCGGACCATATGCATGGTCGGCGAGCGTCCTAACCCCCTCGCCACCGACGTATATATTTCCTGTTCAAGCGCATCTTCTAAATGTAACGTGAATTACTCACATGCGTCATGACATTATTGTATGCACGCAGTTACTCTGTATGGACTATACGCACATCGTTGATTCAATCTGGCATCAAATTTCTCTCTGTACAACACAACCGTATTTCAAGTGATGAATAAGACAATTAATCGCGTATATGCTAAGACCTCTTGAATCTAGTTGACTAACAATTACTGTTTAATTTCTAAGCAATTCTTTTTATTATAAAACTAATTGTATAGACTGTTGTGCAAATATTTAGTACTACAAGAAAAATAAAAAATAAAAAGAAGCAAAATAGGAATTGATAGTAAAAAAGGTAATTAGTGTTATGATGTAATATAGATATAATCAGATAAGGATACTTAATTCATCAGTTAGTAAATAAAGTTACAAGGATTGATTCTATATTGTTATATTGCTCTTCACTTCCATATTATCCTTGTACGGATGTAGTGCAGGATATACTTCACTATTTAAAAATATATCAACCTAGACAATTAAATTAAAACAAAACAGATAGAGAGGATTAGGTAATTCACTCGAGTTATACAACATCAACAAGAAATCATCATCAAAAGGCTACCAAGAAGAAATTCATTCTACCGTAAATGAATAAGCAAAAGTTATCTCTCTGAAATAACAGCTAGAAAATTAAACCCGGTCGATGAAATGGATATAGCACACAAGCCGGCCGGCCAGCAAGCCAGTCGGTACAATCACTTTATTTGATATTATGCAAACCAAAAGATCCAACCGGGAAAAGAAGATAAAATTCATACCATTTGCAAAATGAATTGCATGTATAAACTGCAGTAGACAACACTACATCGGTCAAGAAAGTGGGCATCCCCTTCAAATCCAAATGCATTTAGACAATTAGGGACACCAATTTGACATTCTGAATAGAGGAAACACGGAAAATACTGTTGCGAAGGAATTTCTAGAAGCCTGGTACTCAAGTGAGTCAGTCAGCAATTACCAAACACACTATCCACTATACACCAAATTTACCAGCTAATAAAAAGTAAGTCACAAGACCAGAAAGTTCACATCCCAAGTCAGTAACAGAAATGATCAATTTTTTTCCTTCACGTTCCCCAGTGAAACATAGGGCTTCAAGCTAGTGGGCTGAAGTTTCTGTAGCAGTGTTTTACTTTACAGGATAGGGTTGCTAGCCTAATGCCCAACCTTTCCTCTTTACCAGCATTATTTATGGCTTAGCTAGGTAAAGGCCAGGTATATCAGGTGTGCGTCGGCCAGGGATCGAACCCCGGACCATGTTCATGGTCGACGAGCGTCCTAACCGCTATGCCACCGACGCACAAAATGATCAATACTGACGTAAATCAACAACTAGTCACGACAGTGGTTGTCAGGAGATGCAACTGTATCACCATTCATGGAGAACTGAAACGAGTTCAGTCCATACTAAAACCTGCGCTGAAGAAAGGTGTTGTCTAGAAGAACGGGGGGACGACGAAGGCTTCGCAATAACTATTTGAAAAATTAGTAATTACTTTTACATAAAAGAAGCTGCAGTTGGAAAACTTATAAGAGATTAATTGGAAGAAAATAAAGTGATTTTAACTTTTTATTCTGTTTAATCTGTGGAGAAATAAAATGCATTCGATTTGATGACTGTCGGTTATCATAATTGATATAATTTATTTGAAAAATGTAATGTATTTGCTCAATTCATTTCCATAAATCTGATCATAGGCGTACTTGTCACACGACTGTATATTATAAAAATAATAAAGTATTAAGAAGTGAGAGAACAGACATGATTCTAGTTAAAGAGCCATTCTGAATGCCAGAATAACAACAGTGATCAATAAACCAAATAGAGATAACAGTGCACATATCTGCTGTTTATTCAACCAAAGTTTACCAAGGAAGGTTTGAAGGTGATGACAAGTTGTTTCTGAGCACATACATTTGGTTAAAATTTCCTGATCACTTAACGCTTTTCACAAACCTTAGGACGCACCCCAAACACGTTTCAACGATCACTTTAAAAGAGGTGCAAAAATCAATTTTATGCCCTGTATCTAGAATATGTTTCTCAATAAAACAGCTGGTTCGTCTGTTTTTTCACCAGTCAGGGGTTCAAGGGATTCGATCTACTTTCGAAGTCATTTAGGAATATGCTCCATAGGCGATATCTGCACAGGATGATGAGTCCTGCCTACATATATGTATATATAAATATCTGGCCACCCGTCAATTTAAATCGGTTAGAATGATACACTAGCAATCAAGGCCACAGAGGTACACAACAATTTTGCTTATCTTATAAACGCATTTCTAAACAATACTGTTATTCTTTGTTTTCGTTCTTATTTTGCGTGATTTAAACGTTTGACCTACTTAGTTTAGTTAACCTAACAACCAGCACAAAATATTTTGTAAACTGAATTCTTTTGTTGTCGGAAGTTTTAGTAGTTGACTGACTTATTTTTGTTTCTAATTAGGTTCATTCATTTAAACGTGACTGTTGTAATAAACGCTGTTTTCACAGACATTTTGAACACACATATTTATTTGGCTCTTCAAACATCTAATCCCACTTCACGTATCTTTGCTCGTCTAGGAAGTGTTGGATCGACGTGTATGAGACAGATGCCTGAGCCAGCACAATTGACAGACATATTCACAACAGCGCTAACCGACACCCACCCCAATTGAAACAATGTATCAATTCAGGTTCGAAGCTAGTGCTGATCAGGAATTTCTAATGACCTGAACAAAATTGTAGGAGACAATTGTCATCATCAGTTCACTAGCATGACACTCTGAAGACAATCCACCAACCAGTATGTTTTACTGTTTACATCAGATGACCAAACTGAAAATTGCAATAACCCAACAACTCTTCTCCCCTGAGCTACTAACTGCATACATTCTGATTACATCTATCCTCTACTTCTTCTGAAATGCAGTCAGCTGCTGCACAATAAGGGCAGATATCCAATGATAGTCGACGACACCTTGTTTATCTCTTATTCTCATGGACCCACTCAACCATGCCATACACACATGCACATGCACGCAATTGATTGGCCGCTGGGACACAGTCAGGCAGTAAGTTTTCAGTTCTACCGCCTTACGCTGTTCCCACACGAATTAAGTCCACAGCCCATTGGTTAAAGAATCTTATGACGTATATACTCTCTGCACAAACTGGCTGACTAAGTGACTAAATGGTTTATGAAAGTGGAAGTCTGCACAAAAGTCAATATGCACAAATCATCACAATTCAGAAATGAGCGTATATATGTACTGGGATGATATGTAATGACATGTATCCAGCTATTGAAACGTAAATTCAAATCAGCACAACTCGTTTTTTATTAAATCACTTTTCACGAGAAACAAGAAGTGATATATTTAAGCGTATCATGTAGATGCTCTGAGAGAATCATCTATCGCTAGAGGAGATGTGAAAGTTAATCGTGGTACTCGAAGTGCATACAGAGAACAGGAGGATTGTCAGTATTAATCTGAGGACTCAGTTTTGTTCCGGACACGTCACATATGTTATTTTTCAATGTGCTGCGTATAGGTGTAATTATTTTTAGAATGCAAGTAAAATAAGCCTTAGTATTGTGTTGAAACACAGTTCCATATATGTAGCTTCTTCACCATATATTGTGCATAGATCGCATGAATTCTGAATTTTGATAAGCATGCACAAGCTTTATGTTTTATTCTCCGGCTAACACATTTTGTATCAGGAAGAATGGCATTATTGAAATCTTCTATGTCCACAGACGAATCGTATTGCTATCAGTTGTAGTCGCCCTCAATCACTAATTAGGGCTCTACATCTCGGTGTTTGGAAAGACTTTCCAAAATAATTTTCCTTCCAAAGCTACATATTTGAAAGCGAATAGCTGAATACCACTCCTTTTTCAGACTAGAATGGCAATTTCACCTTAGACACACATTGAGACTATCGAAGCTGAATTGCTCGTTAACATCTCGATCTTACGAATACTCCATGGGGATTATCTTTCATAAAATAAACAAAACTGATAAACACTATGGTCATTATTTTGGTTTATTTAATTCTTTTGCGTTCCAAGATTGAGCTTTGAAATTCCAGTGGCAGGGGTGGGGCGTTGCTAGCCACACACCCAACCTTCCCTTTTTACCAGGCTTACTACCGGCTTAACCAGGCTCAGGAGCAAGTCTACCGGGGGTCGAACCCCGGGCCATATGAGTGGTTGGTGAGTATCCCACCACTGAGCTGCCGATGTAATACGGTCATTACGATATGGTTATTGCCAAACATGACCACATTTCCTCGCCTTTTAATAAAATTAAGCAAACAAATAAGTTTCTATTTTATTCGGTACCAGAAATCAACAACAAAAAGAAATAAGGAGGCGGTATAAAGTAAAACGATTAGAAATATCAACGTGAAAATTATTACCTGTTCAGGCGCACGGCCTATCATATTTTTGGGATCCAATATTTCAGGAAGTACCGAGTGTATTTTAGCAAAATATTCATCACCTAATAATTTCTCCACAAGACTATTTTTCATACCCTGAAGCTTGATTTCTACAGCAGCCTCATGACAATGCTTACGAAGGCGTTCATGACATTCTTGCCGATCAGCTGCTGCATCAGACACCATTTTAACTAAGATACGCTCGACAACAAGGAAAGGAAGTTCAGTCATTAGATTAGCCTCCACAACCTGCAACAAAAATAAACAGAAATAAAAGTTGTTTTAGAAAGAGGGACGCAGAAAAAAAAAGAAAATGAATTACAGTCTAAACAGGCATAAGAATTCGTAATTCCTACAGTCGTTTAGTCCAACATGCTTTGAAGTAGAGATTTACAGCTTAGGTAGGTGTAATTTAAAATGTATAAAGCATCCAGCTAGGAAAATATAAGCACTAAGATACCCTGGATATTCCAATAACAAATCTACTTTCTTATCAGGATCAGGTAGTACTCAATTAGACTGATAAACCAGACAACACCAATACTATTTATTATGTGCCGTGTTTGGTGTTCGGAAGTGAGACTGGCAGACAGCGCCAGTTTCTTAGCAAGACACACTTGCAACTTAAAAAAGCAACACCCGTTTGATGTGGAATTTAAATCTATACAATTAGTTGTCAAAGTCGGATATTTATTTACTAGTCTGCGACTACTAAATATGAATGCCGATCTACTACTTGAGGGAGCTGAAGAAATCTCATTTCAAACCTATGACGCGTACGTGCATTCCGAAATCCAAAATAATCCACTGGCGTATGAACCTGATTTGGTCACCGCCATAGGAATGCATAGGAATGACATTCTGGAGTCAGCTCTGAAGGATGTGCGTGAAGGTGGTGTAGATCTGCTACCTGGAGATAGACTTTTCGACCTCGAGTATGCAGACGATATCGTCTTACTGTGCGATAGCATGCAGGCTGCCCAAATCGCACTCAATCAGTTGGCGATCAGTGTCTGTAAGTATGGTATGTGCTTTGCGCCGTCTAAGTGCAAAGTACTGTTACAAGATTGGCGGGAGCCTGTACCTGCACTCACTCTTGCGGGTGAACCGCTTGAAGTTGTCGATAAGTTTGTGTACCTAGGTAGTTGTGTGAGTGCTGGCGGAGGGGTGACGGATGAGATTTCCAACCGTATAATGAAAGCTAGGGTGGCATACATCAACTTGAGCCACCTCTGGCGCCGTCGCGACGTTAGCCTGGCTGTCAAAGGTCGGGTATACAATGCTTCGGTGCGGGCTGCGCTGCTCTACGCCTGTGAAACCTGGCCTCTCCGAGCTGAGGATGTGAGGCGACTCTGTGTGTTCGATCACCGCTGTCTCCGCAGGATTGCTTGCGTTCGATGGCATCATCGCGTGAGTAATTCTGAGGTTCGGCGGCGTGTGTTTGAACACAGTGGAGATCACCATTCATTGAATGTCGTCATCTGGAAACACCGGCTCCGGTGGCTTGGACATGTGCTGCGAATGTCACCCCAGAGGCTTCCGTACAGGTCTCTGTTCGCTAGCCCTGGGACGGGTTGGAAAAGGCGGAGAGGTGGTCAGCCCATGACGTGGCGTCGTGGGATGAAGGATATTTGTGCTAGATTAGCATCGGTTGGTGTGTCACGACTCCCTGGTTGGGGTCTGAGAGATAGCTCAAATCGATGGCTCGAAACGTTATCGGATATGGCCAAGAATCGTAATCAATGGCGAATGTGTTGCGATTTCCTTCTTTCTTCCATTCCCGATGATAGTTAACGAACACTGTTTGAACCTGTTAAGAATGAGTGTTTTCCTTCCAGATGAAGTTCATTATTCGTTCTCTACTTATATATATTTTTTCTTTTCCTGTCTTCCTTTTTTTTTCATCTATGTTGTTTTATTATTATTGTGTGGCGCATCCTTCTTGGTGCCATAATGTACCAAGTTTTAATGCGTTTAAATAAATAAATAGGAATGCAGCTTCCATCGCCTTGTAGATCAGGCTCCAAGTCGGTTTGTGAATCCGCGAAATATCCCAGCCTAACACAAACTATGATATTGTCTGGCAGCTCTCTTGGTGCGCATAGTGTACCAATAAAAAGTAAGGATTAAAGATGCAGTTGTTTAGCGGCTAAATTTCAATCACCATCATCTAGTAATTAACAGCTAACACTTTATATCGCTTTTTTTTATCTGAGGTATCGTCACAGACCATTTTACTCCGGTTGATTCTACATCCCAAAGCACGCAAAAATATCAATGCACTTCATCACAAGAACATAATTCTTGCTGATAAGTGTGCCTCTATTAGTTTTTTTTTTGTAGTTTTCAGATGAAAACACAAATCAATACACCCTTTTCTTAAACTACAAATTGATTCATTTCTAATAGATTCACTGAACAGAATTCAAGGAATGCTATTGAAATAATCCAATTGGTGGTAATGGGAAGTACAACTATAAGGCATTTCTTTACTAGCCACTACTTTCAAGATTGTTTTATTTTAACGCAATTGTACGATTGTACAAGAGTTAATCATCATTGGATAAACATACCTTTGGATACACTATTAATCCTTCAAATATGTTTTGCAGTAAAATGAGACATGCGTCTGCTGCAATAAAAGCCTCGGGAAGAACAATTCTACGAATGGCTGAATCATCCAACGAGCGTTCAAGCCACTGAACAGAAGCAGTAGACACTAAAGAAGCAGACAGATTCATTAGATAACGTGCTAAGGCGCATACTCTTTCCGATCGGATAGGATTACGTTTATACGGCATAGCACTTGAGCCAATCTATGGAAAATGAACCAAATGAAGAAAAAAATGAAACAGAGTGAGTCAGATAGTATGCACGTTTTTTGTAAAAAAAAAAAAGAACAAACTCGCTTCTAGAGAAGCTCGACACAATTTTATATGAATATGAACCATACACCACACACACACACACAACATAAATATTAGTTTGGATGTGAAAAGTCTTTTCATCAATAACCTTTCTCCGAGTTCTGGCAGTTATACACTAAAATTGATTACCATAGTAACAGCAATAGCGACGTATGTGGTGGATACACTTTAATGTAGAATAATATGACTTCGGTTTTAAAATCAGTATTCTGTTCGGTATTCAAAATGGACACGTTCAGAAGTTGTTACTACTACTATAGTCAACATCTTGGGAGAAGTATTATCCTACGAATTTAGAAAAGTAACAACACGTTTTGGGCACTGGAAAAAAGCGATCGAAGATGAGAACTGTGAGAAGAACGTTACAACACTGTGCAGAATCTCACAAACTATGGAATGTGGGGATATTCGACAAATTTGCTAATGATGTGCAAATAAAGCCCTGAAGATAAGGTATACCAAATCGATGTACGTACAATGCGTTTGTCCTAATAAACATTGCCTTCGAGGCTCATCGGTCTTTTCTTCTTTTTAATAGCAGTGTGTAGTAAATGTCATATTATGTTGGCTTTGTCAGTGTTTGGAACTGCTGATAATTAATGAATGAACATCCCATACAGAAGGCCTATAACATTAGTTACGAGATATAAATGACTGACATCTTTCTACACATGACGTTCTACTTAAAGACGTCACCTAGGTAAAAAAAATGGCGTTTTAGACGAACTTCTGCTGACTGTTCACTTTAAGAATGCCAAATAGTACCCTAATTGTTTATCTACCCAAGCAAGCCAAAAGTGATATGTATATATACAAAGGCGTGAATTTTTATCCACCCAAGATTTTATAATCTTTGGATAACAGACAAATGAGCGAAAAAGATTTTACAGCTGTAGCAAAGTGGAAAACAATATGAAACAAAAATTACCTGGCTCGTTTCAAACGGTTCTTCAATTTCTTTGAAACTACTCAACAGTCGTATATCTGTGCATATCTTATGAGCGGTAGCACCCAAACTGACCAATGCACTAACTATCTCACTATCTACTTTTCGAGGGTAGGTTTGACCAGTCACACTCCATGATCGCTGAAATCCCGCCTTTTCTGTGATAAGTTTATCTAGTTTAATAACCTGCAGAAGAGACAACAGTTTGAAAATTGGCTACATTTAAAAATAAAATCATGTATAATCAATATGATCTGAAAAGTCAATTCAAAATACATGAGGGGAGGGGGGAGTACTTGGTATTAAAAAGACCTAAGGAATATAAGAAGAAATGATTATAAGTACCCGACAGTTTCTACTACTACTGATATATATATATATATATATATATATATATATGCATATCTTCTCTTAGCTAACTACGTAATTGTTACTAATTTTTTGTTACCACCCCAACAACAAACTTGCCAGTTAATATTCTAGAAACTTCTTTCTGATAAGATATATATATATGTATATAATTACACTTCAGCTACCTTGTCATTCTGATGTTTAACCTCATCACGACACTCTTATAATATGCTTGTTGATGAACAAAAAGTAGGTTAAATTTTACGCTGAATTTTATTTATCAAAGATTACAGGTTGTGTACAGTTGATGAGAACCACCAACGCAATAAAATAGATCCGTGGTATTTTGCAGCAATGTTTGTTCTTTCACTGCTCAAACTTATAAAAGGGAATTCCTGTATGAAATACAGAAGCGGTTATGCTCTGTCCTACTTTACACTTATATTAATATGGAAACTGATGCAAACGAACGGATGTGAAAAATCAAATATGTGCATTTATAAATTTCTATTGTTTAATTAGTTCTCCTCGTTACTGAACAGGTGTACTAAATCATCGATGATTGAATTTCTCCACCCAGTCTTACGAGCAAACAGTTTAACTTAACAAAATTGTCTCTTGTTCTTCCTCTTTCTCAGGAAGAAAGATTCACTTAAAAAAAGATGTTCTCTTAGCAATAACATCACTGTTGCCGACTGTCTGTATAATCTGAGCACCTATTAAACGACAGCGTAATTCATTTGAGTCAAACGCACAACACTAATCCAACTGACGACCTTTAAAACCTTACTTAATGCAAGTCTTCTTCAACAATTCAGAAAGGAATAAGCAGCAGTGATGAAGAACAATGAAAAGATGAAGAAGAAGAATAGATAACTGCAGCACAATTGTCACACAAAAACACTCTGAAATCAACTATTTCCTGTAAACTAGATTACTGACTGGAGACACCATTTTCACCAAACAAAACCGTAACGAAACAATTATTCATACAGTAATTAAAAAATATACAAAATAATAGAGAGATTAGATTACCTAGAAAGACCGGTAAATATGAACATCACTAATCCCCCATACACGACCTGATACGGTCGAGGGTGAGTATGTAACGACAGAAGACAAGGGCCAGGCAACAGATCGTTTATTGAGAAAATCAAGGGATATTTATAGATTTTTATGTACATTATTATTCGTTATTGTTAGAAGAGGAGCAAAGTCTTCTGATTGGCTTTCCTTGTTGAAGGTTATTCTGTACTGCTTGTGACCGTTGCTTACAAAGTTAACTATATATCTGTGAATCGTATTTTCACACGTTAATTCTGCTGTGGTTGGTTTTTGAGTTTCCCGAGGTTAGGCTTTGTTCTTGTTTTCTCTCATGACCCCGATTCGGGACGTAAACATTGTTGTAAATTGTTGTTTACAATTTCAGCTTGCAGACAGTTCTCACCACAAGTAGACTTTGGTCTTCCTCTCGAAATACTCTTATGTAGTCAATTGTGTTCATACCCTCCACTAGGTAATTTTTATTCACTATCTTGATGCGTCGGTGTTCCTCACATAAAGGTGAAAGGGTGAATGCGAATGTTCGGTGCTTATAACCGAACTGACTAACATGTCGACCTACATAGTACAGCTGGAAAACCCTGATTCCAAACCTATGATGTACATGAGCTCTAGAATCAAAAAGGATTGAATGGCGTATCAACCTGTTTTGATCACCGGAAGCCATGGAAACGTAGCTCAACTGCCTTTCCAACCAAATTTCAAGTCAAAAGCTCCGAGAGTGGGCATTTAAAACAACAACCTGCCTTGGTCTATGAGTTCAGAAAGGATTCCAGCTCTCGCACAACCTATGAGATTCTGTGTAGTGCACCTCTTGGTGCCCAGCGTGTATTCAGTTTGTATTTTGATAAATAAATAATTAATTTCGACCCTAATTGTCCTAAAATACATTATGAATAAATAGTAAAATAAATAACAGAAATCTGCAAGCGCTCACATTTCAGTGACTGTGTCTTCAGACAATAGGAAAGGAAGAGTTGAACGAATAAACATTAGTAGAAATACATTAGGACAAATAACAAAAGTGACAGAATACAAAACGAAGTGATGTTACTCAGCATACTTTTCAAAGTGTCCAGGAATCTGTCACATTCGCAACTTTACGAAAGCTCTAACTAACCCAGAATTCCATCCAATTGACAATTATGTATTACCATTATACTACTAACTCTGAAGGACAAATATTTGATGATTGACAAAAGAAACAACTTTTCTTTACCACACTTGGGGAAAAAATTTGAGTCTATTAAGAGTACCAACCTTTTCATGATCACCTTGAAATAAATCTAGAAAAGAGGCTTGCGTTCCTACAGCACCTTTAGCACCACGAAAACGCAATGTATGATTCTTCAGTCTCTCCAAGTTTTCTAAATCCATTAGGAGATCTTGAATCCACATACATATTCGACGACCCATGGTGGTAGGTTGAGCAGCTTGGAGATGAGTACGAGCAAGACAAATTAGATTCTTGTGTAACAATGCCTTCTTAGCCAATCGATCTATACACCTAGCAGTTTTCGGTAGAAGTATGTTAATGGCATCACGGAACATAATGAGGTCAGCATTATCACCAACAAAGCAGGATGTGGCACCTGTAAACATGAAAAGAGAGTTTACAAAATATTAAACAGACGGTAAATACCCAACAAAATCGGCGAATCAATGACCCCACTACTTATCTTATTTAGAGATTATAATTCACCCCCTTACTTTAAAAAAACCCAGAAAGAACAATAAAACGAGTGTTAAACAAACGAAAAAGCGAACATTTACACAAATAATGCAAACAAAACGTCACACAAAAGAATAAGTGCTACATACACGATTTAGAATTCGTAAATATACATCTGTCGAATTCATTGATTTCTGACATATCTAAACCAACTCGGTCGGTCGGTCGGTTTTCGACATAGAACTTTGCACATATGTGCGGCAGTTCAAGTTGCCACACTCCCTTCATGTAGCACACAAAGCAAGAGAAGAAAGTAGAAGAAATGCATAATATAGACAGTAAACAGAGGTGTGAGACAAAGGAATAGTAATAACGGAGAACAAAAGTTTAATTGGAAATCATAAGTCACAAGGAGTGGATGCATCTGCGCCACTGAGAACGATTTTGAGCCATGTCACCAATTGTTTCCAACCATTGGTTTTCACCATCCCGAGGGCCCCAACCAGGAAGTCTACATCTTCCTACGTGGCTTAGATTAACTGTTGTGGATTTCATTGATTGGTGCCATGTTTTGGTTTGACTGCCGCTAGCTCTTTTCCAGCCTGACCCTATATCAGCTAACATTGCCCGTCGAGGAAGGCGATGACTAGGCATACGTAGCACATGTCCTAACCATCTCAGTCGAAGTAATTTCACAGTCTCGTCGATTGATTTCCCCGCCTTACCTAGCACTCGACGCCTAACCTCAATATTGCTCACCTTATTATACCACTTCACGCGGGAGATAGAACGCAGACACCTATGATCGAAGACAGCTAATCTTTTCATGTCTTCTGCTCTCAATGGCCAGGTCTAACAGCCATAAAGGAGGACGGAGCGGACTGTTGAGCAGTACACACGCCCTTTGGTCGATAGTCGGATATCGCGTCTACGCCAGAGACGGCGAAAACTGGCGAATGCGAACCTAGCCCTCTGTATTCGTGCTGAAATTTCGTCGGAGATCAACCCGTTGGGGCTGATGGTACTTCTCAAGTAAGTGAAGCGGTCAACGTGTTCTACCACTTCACATTCTATTTCTAATCTAGGGGTCGATGAAGTCCAATCCTGCAGCATCATCTTACATTTTATAGGGGCGAATCGCATGCCAAACATGCGGAGGTTGTTGCTCAGGGTGTTCAGTAGACTCTGCATTTTGTCAGAGTCCTCGCCTAGAAGGACTATATCGTCCGCGTATTCTAAGTCAACGAGATTCTTCCCTGGTAGCAAGTCAATCCCTGAGTCGCTGAAGTGAGATAGGGTTAAGTCCATTAGTACATCTATGATGAAATTGAATAGGAATGGGGATAATGGGCATCCTTGACGGACGCCACTAGTCGTCACCACTTCAGATGACAACTCGCCATAAGCCCTCACCTGGCTGCATGAGTACGAGTAGAGTGCCTTAATCAGTGCAATGTATTTTCTTGGCATTCCCTTTACAGCCAAGCATCGCCAGAGAACCTCCCGGTCGACAGAATCGAATGCCGCCTTTAGGTCAAGAAATATAATGATTGTCGGACGCCGGTAGGAATGCCTATGTTCTAGAATCTGTCGAAGGGTGAAGATGTGATCAATACACCCTCTACCTGGCCTGAAACCAGTTGGACACCAATCAACAAATTGTATTGCACGTCTACTTTTTAAATTTGTTATTGCTGTATTTACATCTTTAGCTATTACATCACCACGATATAACAGACAACATGCCATATATTTACCATGACGTGGATCACATTTAACCATTTGATTAGCTGATTCAAAACATGCATTTGTTATTTCACTTACAGTTATCTGTTCATGAAATGCTTTTTCAGAGGATATAGTTGGTGCATATGCAACTAATGGAAAATGTATTCTTGGATAGGGTACTAAATTTGTTTGAAATTCTGTTAAATCAACATTCAATGCACCATCAAAGCGTAATGATGCAGTTATAGAACTGACAACTTGACCAATTAATCTGTTTAAATTAGTATAACTTGGTCTTTCAATATCTAAATTTCGTCGACATATTTCATAAATAGCTTCATTATCAACCATAAAACCACAATCTGAATGCTCAAGTGTTGTATGTGTTGTTAATATTGAATTATACGGTTCAACAACAGCTGTAGATATTTGTAGCGCGGGGTAAACAGAAAATTCTAACTTCGACTTTTTACCATAATCAATACCCAAACGTTCCATAAGTAATGATGTAAATCCAGAGCCAGTTCCACCACCGAATGAATGAAATACTAAAAATCCTTGTAAACCTTCACATTGATCAGATAATTTTCTGATACTATCTAATACTACATCAATAATTTCTTTGCCAATTGTATAGTGTCCACGTGCATAATTGTTAGCTGCATCTTCTTTGCCTGTGATTAATTGTTCTGGATGAAATAATTGTCGGTATATTCCTGTTCGTACTTCATCAATAACTGTAGGTTCCAGGTCAAGAAATACAGCTCTTGGTACATGTCTTCCGGAACCGGTTACACTGAAAAATGTTTCAAATGAATCATCAGCCGGTAATTCTTCGTGTTTTGGCTTTAATCCATCCGGACAAATTCTGTGCTCCAAACAATAAAGTTCCCAGCATGCATTTCCAATTTGTACACCAGCTTGACCAAGATGAATACTTATACATTCTCTCATTTTTGTGCGATAAAAAAATTTACGATCTCGTGTGAAATTATTCCTGAAGTTTATATATCTTCTAAATTTGATTGAGTAATAAACGAAAACTCGAAATAATAATGTATCTGATAATCCACAACGTAGACAGAAAGAATTTTGATTATAGCTTGATTCCACACAGTATTTTGGTACAAGTATGAAATTTTCAGCATGTGATATCGGTAGCCCAAATTTAGCAGGCCGACCATAGGTATCAGGTGTGCGTCGGCGGGGAATCGAACTTCGGACCATATGCATGGTCGGAGAAGGTCCTAACCACTGTGCCACCGACACACGACTTAGCGAAGTAAAAAACATTACTTTTACAACACTACGTCTCTTAGGAATACAGTTTTTATCCCTAACAAATATATTTCAATGTTTAATTAAAATGAACAAACAAATGACAAACGTTGAGCGCTAAAACAGTATCTATTCTTTTCTTCAAAATTACAACATCACAACTGACAGAATAACACTTTTATTCCTTCAAAAATGTCAGTCGATTTCATCCTTGTTATTTTCGTTAAAAGTTAACGTAAGCGGCTATAATATGAGGCTTTATATTTCCCACTGTTTCCCTGATAATCAGCGAAATTTCACAGGTATGCATCACTGTAGCAAACTTTGATTTCCTGAAAAAGTCAGACCCTCTCCCCCAACTTTCGATACAAGTACTTCCTTATATGTACAGTTCAGGTGTAGAAACTTATAGTTATGGACAGATGTCATATTTTTAAATCATACGTTAGGAAATTAAGTGGCAAAAGTTGTGAAATTTTATGTGATTCGACATTTTACAAAGTTCAGTGACGTACTAATTTACACTGACACTCCGGTTAAGGCTGAAAGCATGAGAATGATGCAAAGTATTAGGAGTCCTAGGAACCAACAATATAAGACGTCATAGTATAAATATATATATGTATGCATAATATCAGCGGCTTATCTACATGTTCGACTCGGCTGATTCAATTAATTGTCACTTCCCATAGGAACAATTGAGTATTTCCGAGCCATGTCTAAAGGTTGAGGAAGCAGTGAATCCTTAAGTTCAAAAGTGAATGGTAACGTGCTGGATGGGGAATCTCATGATCCCTGACTTAGTGTTTTACAGACTAATGGAGGAAACCTGTTGTAGAACCTCTAACTAAGACAAAACTCCTGCCTAACCGTTTCTGACTTCCATTGGTTGCCTTAGTTGATGTACATCTGTCACGGAAACTATCCTGAAATAAATCAATCTAACGAAAGTCTTTTGTCTATTAATTACTGTTTTCACGATGTGATCCTCAATAATATGATAGAAATGCATAACCTGTGGAACCAACAAAACAAACGGTACAAATAAGGTACTGTCAATTGTTTCAAAATGAATAAAAAAAGCTCACCGAGGTGGATGATTGCTGAAGCTTTTGGGCATGCCATAGCATAAGTGTATACATGTGCCATCACATCATGGCGTCGAGCTTTCTCTTCAGCTGCAGCAGTCTCAAAATCAATGAAATCTCGCTGGCTTTTCATCTCATTAATTTGTTCATCTGCATTTACATTGTGAAAGAGGATAAAAATCAAGAAAGTTGTTAAATATTTCATGTGTTCAGAGATACAGTTATCAGACAGATTACTCAAACAACTACTGAAAGGTTAAACATAATCAGAGATGTTTACTTGCGACAAAACTGAGATCAAGGGAACAAGAAACACTCAAACATAGCCTACATAAGCAACCACTTTTCTCACACCCAAAATAACCTAACAAAGCCAAGTGAGCAGATCCCGGATTTTTTTAAGTGCTTTTATTAAAGCAATTTTAGAGGTAATGGTGACCAAATATACATTTAATACCTACATTGCTTTGCACTTGATGGCAGTTGAGTTGTGAAGCTCTAAATTTGCAACAGAGTGGAACAGCACAGCAGCATGGCGGTATCATACAGTCGTCAAATCACCGTCAAATAAAATATGCTTAAAGGACGACAGATAAAGAATTTATTTTCTGGATCTAGTCAGCTTCAAAACGTGAACACTTAAAGTCGAAAACCTGAGGTGCAAACGAGCATAGCATATTCATCACAAAAGTTACATTCCATAAGGGACTAATGAACAGCAATGTGGTAGCAAATAGCTGGTTACAAAACCTTGAATCGAAAACTAACCAGAAAATGAATAAAATAAAGATAAGTACAAATGTTTGCATCGGTGACACAGCGGTAGAATCCTCGCCGACCACGCTGGTGGTTCGGGGTTCGACCCCCGACCAACGCACTCCTTTACACTGCTAAGCTAGTAATAAGACTGGTAAAGAGGGAAGGTTGGGCATGAGGCTAGCAACCACAACCCGTAAAAAATTACATACCACTGCTACCGAAACTTCAAAGCTATAGTTTGAAGCCGTATGTTCTACTGGGAAAGTTAAGGAATAATATAATTAAAAAAATGTACAAATGTATACAAAGAAAACATTATAGTTCGCATGCAAAAATAAAGGCAACATAAAGGGGTTAAATGAACAACTGAATTGCAGAACAAACTTGGAAAACTGAAGCTTTAGATAACAGCTTTGGAATATTGTGATTACTGCACTGACATTTCTGTCACAGCTCAAATATTACCCGAATGCGACAAACAGGACATATGGTCTTTTCAGATCTTACTTTGTAACCTTAATTTCAAATATGATCTGTAAGGTAAAATAACCACTTCAAAAGCTACTTCATCACGGTTACGAGTGACGAAAACGTAATTGCACACTTTCTAATCCTTGCAGATTTTACAACTTAGTTGATGATTGGTTTGGAACCAGGATTTCTCAGCTGAGAAAAACGCTGATCCCGTCCACCAATAGTTAGACCAAAGCATTTTGACAACGAAAGTGGTGTTCCGCTCTGGTGAAGGCATTTTAAGGACCTCTGGTAAACTGAAAATGCCAATTTGCGCCAGGAAACGATCTCAAACACAATATGTCAAGAATCGCTCCCAGAGTTTTATTCCAACCCTTTCAAGCAAATTAAATGAATTCGCCTGAATACAGTATTATGAGCATCCTAGACTCGATAATACACATATAGAAATGAAGTCCATGTGCAGTGTTTATTTAAAAACTCCGACTGTTGATGTGTGAGAGCCTTAGCTGCTGCACTTGGTAGTGCAAAACTACTTACCACTAAGGTATCAAAATCACAAAAACTAAACCTTGTTAACATCTAACATTCCTACTTCTGGAATAATTTTACCACCTAAAAAACTGAATTTGACAAAAGTGGATACAAGAAGGAATACACACATCTTTAAATGAGCAATCAAAAGCCTTTAAACAGGATGTGGAAAAAACAGAAATCTTAGGACTGAAAGAAACTTATAATCATAGAAAAGCAGACTGTGTACACTCAGTGAATTTTCAAAACCTGCATATTTTTAAATAAATAAAAATACTACCAGTAATGTCGAATCCCATTTCTTTTTGCGCTTCGGCAAGCCATATCCAAAGTTGTCTCCAAAGTATTACTTTTCGTTTCTCGCCAAAGTTAGTAACCATTTCACGACTACCATACCTCTTCGTAAGGGGGTTCCTTCATCAAATGAAAATAGACGAATAACGTACTTGTATTCGTCGAACTCTTCCATTAGAACGTCAGGAAACAAATCCTAAAAACAGAACAACACGGAAGTTTGCACCTCATTGCAACGGACGAAACATAATTGTGGATGATATACAAGCTGTGATTCCCAAACCAGTCAAATGTACTACATACATATCTTGGAGCAGACAATATGGAATTTTAGAGTCAGTAATTGGATGTTGAAAGAGAAATGTGAGGACGAGAAGTTCGGAACTCTTTTGGAAATAAACATTACTAAGGACAACAGTTTCTAGCTGCATCTATGTGGATTCTTTACGCCACCAATAACTGGTACACCTTGTTTGTCAGACACTGAGCGTCTAAGATCGATTTTGGAGGAATCTGCTTTCTTACTGTTTCGGAACAATGATGGACACTGAATATTACTAAGGCTCCATTGATACACCTTAAAATTATTAGACTAAAAAACCAATGAAGTACAGGAATTTAATGTGCTGAATAATTTTTGATTGGCCAGACAAAAGTATAATGACCCCGTGCAGACGACCAACGAAATGGTTGTTATTGAACTTTGTATAAAACTAATTAGGTCAGGCAAAGTGTCTACACAGAATACTAATTTACATTTATTGGTTATATGCACTTGAAGTATCTCCCTACTTATCAAAGGAATATTGTCATTCGAACGCATCAATAGTCCTTTCGGTCACCCGGCAGACTGTTGTTGGCAACAGTAAAGAATAGACACCAAAGCCAGATGACATTGGTCCTACCAATTATATTCTTCTAAGTGAAAAGTGGCATTTATTTAGAAAAGTGTATTTATAAAGCATGTACAAAATAAAATTGAATTAGACAGGGTATGTATCTCTAATATGCTGTAAAAACTGGTCCCAGATTCTCATGGAAGTATCAGTAGGCATATAAAACCAATGTGGATACAAAAAATTTAAGTGGCTGTATATCATATCACATCATATCGGGAACCATTTACTATTATAATACGTTTTTTAAGATGCACACAGAATCCTTCAATACAATTTGTACGAGTTCCACTCATAGGATCTAATTCAGAAGTATGGTCATGATTATGATGAATGTTGTCTAATGATGACGACAGCTACCAATAACCCTTCCATTTGAGTGCATGAATGGCAGTGCCTAGGAGGACTAGTTGTTGTATTATTGGCATTAAAACATCTAAGTGGAACTTGCAACAAAAATTACAAACACGTGTATGTTACTGTACACGTGTAATACCTAGCCGTCTTATTGGTTGATTCGAGGCCATTTGATTTTGGTATCTATTTTTTACCGTTGGCAGTGAATGATATTATTTGTAAACCATGTCGGAAAATAAACAAAATTAATTACTTGAGTATTTCAACAAATCCCCGTACGTCTAAAGCTGCACTCTCAAGCGGACTTCAACCTTGAATACAAAAGCAGCGGCAAGAAAGTCCAATATTCAATATCCTGACTACAAGCTCGCTTCTTGATTGTAAGGTAGACGTTCCAGATCTTTGGTGAACTTATGCGTAGTAAATCCCGCCACTCGACTGCTTTAGCTCTGGTAGACTCCAAGAGGAGTGGTGCGAGGATTGGTCAAGATTGTGGTTTGCAGTGTGCAGTATGTTAGGACTCAGTTGCTGCCGTGAATGGAGTTTGACCTAACACCCGTTGGTCATTCGGTGTAGTCATAAAAGTAGAATAGTAATAATAATAGGTTGTAGTGTAGATAATATAGGTTGAGATAAGTGAAATAATAAGGGTGAAATAATAAAGGTGACCGAAGGAAAAGATAGAGTAGTCGGTACAGTGAGAGAAGACAGAACGGGTCGTGAGGATTTAGCTTGTATGCTTATCCAATGACAGTGTGGTTTCAAATTTTAAGAGGATAAGCCACTGAGACACAAATCATGCATTTCTGCATGATTGTCCAGGTTCCGCCTTAAAGTCTCCGCAGATGGCGCTGTAGTCCAGGCCGCCGGTAAAGCGTTCTAGAGACGGCAAACTCGAAGCAAAAAGAAATGTGAACGCACTCGAGTCTTTGGTCTCTGGTGTACGATCCTTAGCGGGTTACCTCGTGGAAGCCTATAATCACTTAATGGCAGGATGCTTTTATTAGGGTGGGCCTGGTCATTTAAGATCTTATAGACGGTGATGAGGTCTCCCCTGTGACTACGGTAACGAAGTGTGAAAAGACTTAATTTCTTCAGTCTTTCCTCATACGATTTGTTGCAGAGGCCGATCACCCATTTTATCGCTCGTCTCTGGACACTTTCTAGAATGTTAGCATCCCTTTTGAGTAGCGGAGGAGCAATGATATTGTGCAACTCAAAAAGTGGCCACACGTATGTCGTATACAACCTTAAGAATAGTTCGGGAGTGAGAGCTCCCAGCTGCCTATGCATAAAGTGTAAAGTTGTGTTAGCTTTGGCGACGTCCCTCGTGTAATTTACACTGGTGTATATGCATGTTAACAACTTCAAGACATAGCAGTATAACAACTTTACATAAACGAATGCTGATGCTAGCACCAAATATCTTCTTACGACCATACTGACTACTTAGCGACTGCTTCTCCACACTATTTAACACTGTTAAACTTCATATTCGGATATATTTGATTGAGGAGAGACAAATCGAAACCTAATTTAATCCTTTTCTAGCTCATTTCTGTGTCTTTTAACCCCTCCTTGAATGAGTTACTTGAGGGCACTGACACTACTCCTTCTGGAAATCAATTCAGGGAGTTTCTGACTCGGTGTGAGAACCAGTATTCCGTAGCCATATAATTCCCTGGCGCAAGTCAGTGAGTCTATGATTTGGGTATCATTTTGGTTAACTGTACTTGACTGTGATATTATTATTGTTGTTGTCGCTTGTTATTCTTGTTGTTGTGAATTTTTTCTTGTGCTGGTGTTGTTCTGATTGTTTTATTCCTTGTTTCCCTGGTTTTAAGGGGAGCAACCCACAAGGTCACTTCTCTCTAAACTATATTTTAATGTAACAATCCCCTTCTCAGGCGAGAGGCTGGCAACCCCAAACTGCAAACGAAGTTGCTACAGAAACTTCAGCACGAAGAATCTCCTTGCGCCAAAAGGAAAAGTCTGTGTGGAGACATGGAATGTCCGCACCACGTACGAGATTGGCAAAGCTGCCCAGATCGCGAGCGAAATGAAAAGAACCGGAATTCAAGTACTGAGGATATGCGAAAGCAGATGGAACTGTAATGGACTCACCAAATTGTCAACGGGTGAGTCAGTGATCTACTCCGGTCACCCAGAGGATAACCACATGCACACCGAGGGCGTGGCTATCATGATGTCACCAACGGCAATGAAGGCCCTGATGCAATGGGAGGCGATCTTGACCAGGTTAATGAACGCCAGATTCAACTCCAAAGGAAAGAAAATGTCAGTTATGCAATGCTATGCACCGACAAGCAACGCAGACCTCGAAACGAAAGAAGAATTCTACAGACAACTACAGGCAACAATGGACAATGGTGACATTAAAATATTAATGGGAGACATGAACGCCAAACTGGGACCAGACAACACAGGAAGGGAACTCATCATGGGTTGTGAAGCACTTGGAGAGATGAATGAAAACGGAGAACTCTTCGCTGACTTCTGCGCCTTCAATGAACTAGTGATTGGTGGCAGCATATACAAACACAAGGATATCCACAAGGCTACATGGGTGTCACCAGATGGGCGAACCAAAAAACAAACTGACTCCTTCTCAATGGTACTCAAGGAAGTGGAGACGCAGCTTACTGGATACAAAAGCAAGAAGAGGAGCAGACGTTGGCTCAGACCACTATCTCGTACAAGGGACAATCCAAATCGAATGAAAAGCTTTCAGAGAAACAGGAGCTGCAGATAGACCACAAGCCAAGTTCAATACTCAGAAACTGAAGGATCAGGCCACAAAGGACATCTTCACTACAATCATAAGGGAAAAGGTGGAGACACAAATCGACACTGGCGAAGAGGTCGGCGTCGAAAAGCACTGGAACAACTTGAAAACAGTGTGGAGTCAAACCTGCATGGAAGTTCTAGGCAGAAAGAAGAGACAGGATAAACAGTGGCTCACTACGGACATTTGGAGACTGATAGAAGAGAGAGGGATGGTGAAACAAAAGATTCTCCAGTGCGTTGACGAGCAACAAACACAGGATTTGAATGCAAGCTACAAGACACTGAACAAAAGAGTGAAGAAGAGTGCCAGAGAAAACAAAAGAAAGTATCATGAAACCATGGTGAGTAAAGCAGAACAAGCTGCAGGCAAAGGAGACCTCCCAACACTCGACCAAACAACTAGGAACCTATCGGGCAAAAGTTTGACACAAATGAGGCCAGTAAAGGATGACAATAGAAAATCAATCACCAAAGAAGTGGAGCAAAGGAAACACTGGGCTGAACACTTCAAAAGACTCCTAAATCGACCACCGCCTACAACGCGCCTAAAAATACCAACAACGGAGACAGAGCTACCAGTGAACACCAACCCCCCGACGAAATCAGAAGTCCTGATGGCAATCAAGATGCTAAAAGCTGGAAAAGCAGCAGGGCCAGATGGCATCCCCGCAGAAGCATTGAAAATGGACCCAGGGGCAACAGCGGACTTGATGACGCCACACGTCTGGAGAAGGTGTGGAAAGAAGGCAAAGTACCCGAGGATTGGAAGAAAGGATACTTATTCAAGCTACCAAAGAAAAGAGACCTAAGTCAATGCAAGAACTGGCACGGAATTATGCTCCTGTCCATTCCAAGGAAAACACTAAGCCGCATCATCCTGGATGAAAAACTTCAACCGGAACAGGCTGGATTCAGGAGAAACAAGTCATGCATTGATCAGATCGCCACATTACGGATCATCATTGAACAGAGCTTGGAATGGCAGTCACCTCTCTATCTCAACTTCATCGACTTTCAAAAGGCCTTTAGTAGACAGCGTCGATCGAGAGGTGATTTGGCAACTACTTCGCTACTACAGGGTGCCACCGACAATTATACATCTCATCCAACAGCT